TTTTATTTTGTGAAACAGAAACTTTCTTCGTCTGTGATTCTAAATCTGAACGTCTGAACTCACCTGAGCCACTGACTGTCAGGCTGCTGTGACCTCTGACCTCTGACCTCAGACCTCCTGTTTATCTCTATGAAGAGTCAGACGTTTTGACATTGAAGCTGCTCACCTCAGTGACCTGATGACACGTTTCCTGTCACACATCAGAGAGTATTTTGTACACCTCCTCCTCCTCTTCACCTCCTCCTCTCAGTCAGTTTAGTGGGGGAGGGGCCAGCTGTGACTCAGCTGGTCTAGGATCAGTGTCAGTGTTAATAATCTGATCTCAGGGGCCACTCTGTATGGCACTCTATAAGAAACCTGCAGACATCCCATCATTAACAACTGTCATCATTAACCCTAACCCTGCTCCATACTACAGCCTGTGTGTGTGTGTGTGTGTGTGTGTGTGTGTGTGTGTGTGTGTGTGTGTGTGTGTGTGTGTGTGTGTGTGTGTGTGTGCTAGAGGTCAGTGAGTTTTTTCTCCCCCCTGCAGACAGCTGCTCTATCAGTTGATCAGGAGTATTGATCAGGTCTGATCAATGACCTTCCTGCAGATTGATCGACTGGAAAAATAACAAACAGTCTCAACACACACCTGATGTTCTCCAGGTGTGTGTGTGTGTGTGTGTGTGTGTGTGTGTGTGTGTGTGTGTGTGTGTGTGGTAAAGTGTTTGAGCTTCATGCCCTTACCTGCCCCCCTCCTCTCTGACCTCAGGCTGGTTCAGAGGTCAGAGGTCAGAGGTCAGAGCCTTATTAGTCCTCCAGTAAACAGACCTGAGGTCAGCTCAACATGACGCAGTTCCAGGAGGCGACACCTGGAGCTCCATTCATCATCATCATCATCATCATCATCATCATTTTCATCCTCATCATCATCATCATCACAGCCATGATCGTCAGACCGCAGATTCACTCATGGAGAACGTCTCTTAAAGGGCCAGACACACGCAGCTGGTACATCTTTCAAAATAAGATGTTCAGGTGATTCACTCTGCCTTTAAATTCAGTACAGTGTCTTACAACACACACACACGTTATCTCACTGTCATCATGATTCCCCTTTTAAAACAATGTTTTCAACTGAGACTACTTTCCATGGCTGAGGTATACATGCCTTCTGCTTAAACCCACGTTGTGTTAGCAGGACAAGTGAGGAGCTGTGATTGGACAAACCACAACTCTGACCAAAACATGCCAGCTGTTGTCAGGACACACAACTTTACATGAGAGGAAGTGTGTGGGTGGCAGATAAACCTACACTGTAAAACGTTACAAGTTGATCTTACATTGGTGAAAACACTCGGAGAAACCAAATCCTGCAAGGTTTGGATGGTGGGTCCAGGTGGGCGGGGCTTGGTGACTGCTTTGTTGTGACATCACAAAGTTCCAGAAGTCCTGACGGCTGGTTTTAAGGCTCAGTTTCTGAATACAGGCTGTGTGCATTTCTCTGTGGACTGAGGCTTTGATACTTTCACAGTATTAATATAGAAGCTAGACCTGATCTATAATCACACTACACATGGACACAGACCTTTACACTGGAGGAGCTTTATTAATGTTAGTTATAAACAGGATTCACCATTGCTCCTTCAAATTAAAAGGCTCAGAGGAGTTCTGAAGCTTCCTTTCAAACTGACTGGTTACATTAACTGCATCCTCTCAAGACACACACACACACACACACACACACACACACACTTTGCTCAGGCCAATCAGCTCAAAGTCTTTTCGTATGCGAGCTGCTGGTGATAACATCTGAGCTGCTTCCCTGCTGCTCTGCACATGAATGACCCACACACACACACACACACACACACACACACACACACACACACACACACACACAGGGATTATCACACTTGTAAACTCAGATTTTTTTACAGTGTGTGACGTCATGATCATTGTGTTTCAGTGTCTGAGCTTTTAATGTGACGGTTCAGTGAAGTAACTGAGTTTGTTCCCAGACTCTGATTAAATTTCCCTCTGACGACTCTTCACATGAACATACACAGTGTTTAAATAAGAGTCTCACACTGGTCCTGGTCTACAGGTGTGAGGCTCTGGTCTACAGTCTGACCTGGACTCTCAGCAGCTCTGATCCGTCTGCAGCTTGTCTTCACTCCTTGTCCCTGAAGCGTAATCTGCAGCACCACAGAAGAAGAAGAGAGGGCGTGGAAACAACTCATCTTAGCTCAGAGGACGTTGGACTGCAGCTCAGTCCTCCATGTCGTCTGTCCAGTTCTTCTTCTTCTCGTGTTCTGTGTTTAGTACAACAACTGCAGCCCGTCCATCTGTAGCGGCCCGTGGTCGGCCCATGGTCAGCCCTTTGTCAGCACATTGCTCAGTATGTAAACATGATTTAATCTTAAGAAAATATTATATTTAAATAAAGAGACTTGGAATCATCAGTTAAAACAGCATGAAACATTTTATTTATTATTTAAAGCCCAATAAATACAATAAACCCAGGCAATCATCTACGATACGTAAATACATGATAAAACATTATGTCTGGGGGGTTTTGATAAAGTGGAAGCAGCTGGAGGATAATGTTAGCCCCCCCCTCGGTGCCCCTGGTGGTGTTTGTCACGGCCCTGCAGCTCCTGTTATTAACTACAGTGTCAGGAACTGGGCTCTAATAATGACCTCTGTTATCTCCTGCAGCACCAGCTCCATCTCTGGGCTCCCCCTCCTCCTCCTGCTGCTCCTCCTCCTCGAACCTCTCTGGTCTGTTTTCAAAGTGTTGCAGTAAAACTTCATTAAAATGCAGCCGCTGTGTTTGAGGAGGTTTTAGGTGTTGACAAGAGGTTCTTCCACCCCCCACCCCCCAGCCAACAATCCCTGTCTTCATACACATGTTAAATGTTATTCAGTGTTAACACTGAATAACAAGCAGCAGAAAAGGCAGGAGTGTGAACCTGCAGCAGCTCAGTGTAACTACATGTGTACGTCATGAATCATAACACCAGGTGTGAAGTGATTTGTGAGTTATGGATATGAAAGTTCTGCATCTCTGGATTTTAAATGTTGCAGAAGATCATGAGGAAATATTCAAACCTCTTGGTGTCATGTGGTGTGAACGTTTGCTCCACCACAAAGTCCTGGAGCTGCTGTGAGCTGGCTGACGAACGTGTTGTTTTATTTTGAAAGAAACAGCCTTCAGATCAACTTGTTCTTGCAGACTTAAATGAATCTCTTTTCCGTCTTAAACACCAGCTCATACATAAATGTTACCCACTTTATTTTCTAAATGCTCATTTATACTCCCTGGTTTACTTTAGCTGATTATTTTGATGTTTGTCATTTCTGTGTTCAATGCTTTTATTCTGAAGTTCTGACTAACTTTTATTTTAAAAGTGCCACATAAATAAATCTTAACGTTCTCCTGTAGTTACTAAACTCCTCTAAAGAGCACAATCAGATTTTTTGTCACTGTTGTCATGGTAACAATGTGGGTGTAACTGATTAATACTAATATTTCCTGCAGCAGCAGCAGCAGCAGCAGCTCGACCACTGACCTCTGACAGCTCATAGAACAACAGCAACATTCCTGAGTAACGGCTTGGCTCATCTATGTGAATGGATGGTAGCACGCACATAAACACACACACACACACACACACACAAACACCATGTTTTCACATGTAAAAATCTCATTTTAAGCTCCAGAACAACAAAGAGGATTTAAGAGCAGGTACTTTTAAAATGTCTCTGCATAGTGTAGTATAGTATGGTACAGTATACTTTAGTATAGTAGTGTAGTATAGTATAGTAGTGTAGTATAGTATAGCATATTATAGTATAGTATAGTATAGTGTAGTACAGTAGTGTAGTATAGTGTAGTATAGTAGTGTAGTATAGTATAATGTAGTATAGTAGCGTAGTATAGTGTAGTATAGTATAGTATAGTGTAGTATAGTAGTGTAGTATAGTGTAGTATAGTATAGTGTAGTATAGTATAGGGTAGTATAGTATGGTACAGTATACTATAGTAAAGTAGTGTAGTATAGTGTAGTATAGTATAGTATAGTATAGTATAGTGTAGTATAGTATAGTGTAGTATAGTATGGTACAGTATACTATAGTATAGTATAGTGTAGTATAGTATAGTATAGTATAGTGTAGTATAGTATGGTACAGTATACTATAGTATAGTATAGTGTAGTATAGTATAGTATAGTATAGTATAGTATAGTATAGTGTAGTATAGTATAGGGTAGTATAGTATGGTACAGTATACTATAGTATAGTATAGTATAGTGTAGTATAGTATAGTATAGTATAGTGTAGTATAGTGTAGTATAGTATAGTGTAGTATAGTATACACTATACTCCCCCCCCCCATGAAAGAATGAGAACAACATTAACCTGTGATGATGTCATACTGAACATCTTGTTAATGTTTACTTGAAACAGCTTGTGTGTGTTGATGCTCACAATTCACTGCAGACAGTAACTGATCTGTTGTAAAGATCCAATCACTGCAGGACAGTCATGAGCTCATTAACTGTGGTAAAGCGAGCACCTGTTTACACCTCTCTCTCTCTCTGTTTCTCTCTCTCTCTGTTTCTCTCTCTCTCTCTCTGTTTCTCTGTTTCTCTCTCTGTTTCTCTCTCTCTCTCCCTCTCTCTCTATCTGGGTCACGTGTTTCCTCTGTGCGTATCGATCCTGCAATTTAAAAACCACTAAACACCAATAAAAACGCGATAAATATCGATTACTTTCACTGGAATGATTTATCAATTGAAATTGAATCAGAGTAACGGACAGACGCCGGTGGGCGGGCACACGGGGAGAACAGGGGAGCTGTGATTGGCTGAGGGCGCCGCGGAGGCGGGAAGGTTGTGGGAGAAGATGGGCGTTGATTGGTTGAGGGCGGGAACGTCGCGCGCATGATCAGCCGGTTAATAAGACACCGGTTTGGAAGTGGAGCGGCGGAGAGATGTGGTCGCACTGAGGAGAGAACCGGACAGATCAACGTACACGCAGAAAGTGTCTCGGTCGGTTAGAAACGTTAAACCGGACGATGGTTCAGCACACGCAGCATGGCGGGGCGGGGATCAACACCGGGTCCCGCGAGGCGACCGACCCGGAGGAGAGCGAGCTGCTGGCGGCCTCGGCGTGCAGCCCCGTGCCGCTGAAGCCGGACTGGTGTAAGACGGCGTCGGGTCACATTAAACGGCCCATGAACGCCTTCATGGTCTGGTCCAAGATCGAGAGGCGGAAGATCATGGAGCAGTCCCCGGACATGCACAACGCGGAGATCTCCAAGCGGCTCGGGAAGCGCTGGAAAATGTTAAAAGACACCGAAAAGATCCCGTTCATCCGGGAGGCGGAGCGGCTCCGGCTCAAGCACATGGCCGACTACCCGGACTACAAGTACCGGCCCAAGAAGAAGCCCAAGACGGACGGATGTGCGTTTCCTGCGGGGAAGTCAGCCGCTCAGTCCCCGGAGAAAACCGCAGTCCGAGCCGTGAATAAGAACTCCTCCGCCGCGAAGAAATTCTCCAAGTTGAAACCCAGCAAGCCGGTGGTGGGTCCCGGCAGAGGCAGGAGCCACCTCCAGCAACACCAGCACCCGGACCCCCGGTACCGGTACGTGTTGACCACCAGCTTTAAAACCAGCAAGCTCGTTAAACGGGAGTTCACCGACGACGAGGAGGATGACGACGACGACGACGACGACGATGAAGACGACTCCGAGGAGGAGCGGGGTCTTAAGGAGGACGAGCCGTCCCGGTACAGCCTCGCCAAGGTTCCGGCCAGCCTGAGTCTGAGCTCCCCCGCCGCCGAACCGGAGGGAACCGGCATGTACGAGTCTTCCGGTCGGCTCTTCTACAGCTTCAAGAACATCACCCGGCAGGGCACCAGCACCTCCTCTTACCCGGCCTCCCGCTCACCCGCATCCTCGTCCCGGTCCGGCTCCACCTCCTCCTCCTGCTGCGGGGAGGACCTCGATGATCTCCCCTCGGAGGGGAACGACTACGCCTTCAGCCTCCTGGCCGGCTTCCACGCCTCCTCCGAGCCGTGGAACTCGTCTTCCAGCTCGGTCCCGGGGAACCTGAGCTTGTCCCTGGTGGATAAAGACTTGGACTCGTGCAGCAGCGAGGGCAGCCTCGGGTCCCACTTCGAGTTCCCGGACTACTGCACCCCGGAGCTCAGCGAGATGATCGCCGGGGACTGGCTGGAGGCCAACTTCTCGGACCTGGTGTTCACTTATTGATCCCTCGGGGGGGGTGTCGCTCCAGAACCAGTCAGGGACCGGTGTGATGTGGCTGCTGCTGCCCGGGCTCAGGTTGCGGGGAGCGGATGGACTGTACACACGCTGCGGTACTTCAGCAAAAAATGAATGAAATGAAATCACCTCAACAGGGTTTTATGGATTTTGTTTTCAGTTGCTCGGGTCTGAACCAGGATCCGGACTATGCGTTTCCACCCAGACCCAGAAATGACTCTAATTAACACTAAGATCAGGATTTAAGACTCTTTAGTTTCCTTTGCTTCCCAGCACTGGGACCAGCACCAGGACCAGGACTACGACTTCAGGACTCTGAGTTTCCCACATCCTGATCCTCCTGTTTGTGTTGTATTGTGGGGGGTCCGCCCCCCCCCCCCAGGTGTGGGAAATGTCATTAAATGTTGAGTTAAAACCCAAACCGACCACAGGTATGGCAGGAAACACTTTTTGATATTTACATGACCAGACATACCTCATCTTTTTAAAGATATGGAGAAGTAAAACTATTTTCAGGCATATTTTTGTACAGTCAAAGGGAATGTCACAGGTTTTTTTCAGGCACTTCTTCTACCACTTTCATTCAGACTGTTGATTATTATTATTATTATTATTATTATTATTATTATTATTATTATTATTTGTTACTGAGCATGTGAGGGTTCAAATCCCAGCCAGCCTGCCTTGCTTTAATGCCTTGCAGTTGTTTTAAAGAGTGGAGGGGTCAGACCACATCCAGGATTGTATATGTTGTGTAAAATAGTTAAAGTTTAGGAGTTTATGTATATTGGTGTGAGTGAGTCCCTGACAGCAGGAGAGAAACTGGATTTTCAGTTAATTTTTTTACATCATCTGCGGCACATGTTTGTTTTTGCTCATTATTTTTGTGCAATATAAAAGAAAAGAGGAAAAAAATGAAATAAAGGAGCGTCCCGCATTTTTTGTAGCAGAGGAGGAAACTGCGTTTACTTGTTCTTCATGATGAAGTCTGTATGTCCACAACTGAATAAATCAGCTGGAACTGAGTCAGGGCAGCTGCTGTGTTTGATTATTGATCGGTCATGCTGCTTCTGATCGGAGTGATTGTGTGAGGCCATTTTTAAAAGCAGCAACTCTGGAGACAAAACAATCAAACTGCAACGTCCATTCTGGAGCTTTTAGTCACATGACATGATCTTCATTAACGGAGTTGTGAGATTGTTGTGAGACACCTGAGATTCAAAGCACAATTCTTGTCAAGGATTTTAAAAACTTTCAAGGTGGTCTCCAGGTTTTTAAAAAAACATTCAAGTCCTTCTCTGTCCTTTCAAGGTGTTCCAGGAATCCTTGAGGAGGGTCCAGGTCTCCGTAGAAACAAAGTTCAGCAGGCTGAAGTAAACTGGACGTTTTCAGTTTGAACGTGTTAATGTCACATCTCCAAAATCCAGCAGGGCAGGGATCATTGAATTTTTTTGACAATCCTTGAAAGTGATTGAAAAGTTTGAATTCCAAGACGGAATCGAGGATCTTGACTTTAAGTCTGAGTTTCAAAGTTCATGTTCACTATTCCAGGAGAGTGGAGATTGTTCAAGGCCTTACAATGATCTTTAAGGATCCTCGAAGAACCTTTTAAGATCTTCCAGGTGTCCTGAAATTCACCTACACTGTTTTCTGCGACAGTGAAACAACCGGTAAACACATCAACCTCAGGAACAAACAAAACACAAACCTAATCACAACACAACAAAGGTGTTGCCAGGGGACACTAAAAAGTGACGGACCCGAAGGCTAAGCTAACATTTTTGCAATATGCCATTATATCTGAATCGTGTGATATTGAGGTTATAATAGCGTTGGTTCAGTCTAATGTTACACAGTGTCCGTCACTTTTCTCATGTCCCCCTGGAAACACTTCCTGTTGTGTTGTGAGTACTTGCACCTCATGAGTTGTCAGATGAAGATGTCTTGTGGTGTGTTGAACCCTGAGGGCCACAGTACTTCAGGGAGACTTTCTGTGGTAAATGTACTGAGTCATTAGAAAAGTGTGGAGAGCAGCAGAGGTCCAGACGTCTGATGATAAAGCAGATTATTGAGGATGTTTGCAGCCTGACACCCGAACACCTTACAGCTTAATGGTGTGTTTCTGTCTGGACATGCTAACGAAAGACGCTAACGTTAGCACCTGAAAGATGACCAGACATGTTTTATATTTCTGCATTTCAAAGTTCAGATTCTGTTTTTACACCAAAACAAAAAGAAGTTTTTAAAACATTTTAGTTTTTAGTTCAACAAAAGAATCGCAACTCAAGGTCCACTTACTAGCTTGTTGTGCAGCTTTCGACTGTCTTCTTCATCAGCCGCAGATGTTCAAACTTTCCTCAACATTCACAGGAAAAAGGATGATGATGAAGACATGGTTAAAAGCTCCAGAATAAACCAGTAAGAAAACCTTGAGTTGATGCATGTTTGTAAGCTCGGTGTTTCCAAGGTCAAGACTGAATGTTCCGACTGAGACTCCGTCCTTCCTTTGTTTACATTACCCAGAATCCAAAGCCGAGGCGTGATTGGAAGTCGGAGTCTCGGGGGGGTCAGGGGGTCAGCGGGTCACTGGGTCGGCGAATGGGGGCTCAGACTGTGAGCTCGGCGTGTTTTCTCAACTGCTGCTGATTATGAGGAAGCTGAGTCCAGATCTGAGAGGAGAGTAAACACAGAGGAGGAGGAGGAGGAATCAGAGTCATCAAGGTCAAAGTTTGTTCTGGTTTCAGGGCAGAACATTTTAGATTTCTGATAAAATGTTTGGTTAATCATTCCCTGAAAATAGTCATTTACTTCCCTCGGCGGACTGACCTCATCTCCGTCGATCGCAGGAACCCGCAGCGGGTCGGATAAATCTGAGGCAGTTACCGTGTTGGCCCCAACATGGGACGACCCTGCTTTTATTTTCCAACATCTGTTTTTGAGACGTTTAGGAAACAGGAAACACTTGTCCTTTTGTAAAGTTGATCCCATCAATGTGAGGAGAGGGTCGTCATCAGTGGAGGGACACATACAGAAACACAGACAGGTGAGACCAGACCACTCCTACAGGTGTCCTTCAGACAGGAAGAGCCGGGATGTGTGTCTCTCTGAGGCTGTGTCTCTCTGAGGTTGTGTGTCTCTCTGAGTATGTGTGTCTCTCTGAGTATGTGTGTCTCTCTGAGTATGTGTGTCTCTCTGAGGATGTGTGTCTCTGAGGTTGTGTGTCTCTCTGAGGATGTGTGTCTCTCTGAGGTTGTGTCTCTCTGAGGTTGTGTGTCTCTCTGAGGTTGTGTGTCTCTCTGAGGTTGTGTGTCTCTCTGAGGTTGTGTGTCTCTCTGAGGATGTGTCTCTCTGAGTATGTGTCTCTCTGAGGTTATGTGTCTCTCTGAGGTTATGTGTCTCTCTGAGGTTGTGTGTCTCTCTGAGGTTGTGTGTCTCTCTGAGGTTGTGTGTCTCTCTGAGGTTGTGTGTCTCTCTGAGGTTGTGTGTCTCTCTGAGGTTATGTGTCTCTCTGAGGTTGTGTGTCTCTCTGAGGTTGTGTGTCTCTCTGAGGTTGTGTGTCTCTCTGAGGTTGTGTGTCTCTCTGAGGTTGTGTGTCTCTCTGAGGTTGTGTGTCTCTCTGAGGTTGTGTGTCTCTGCTCCACTGACACAGTGTGTGTGACAAACAGAATAAATGAGGACGATCAGTGTGAACCTCTCTCTCTCTCTCTCTCTCTTCACAGTCACTAA